CCCAATCCGCCACTGATATATATTATAATATATAATTGTATAATATAACTACTTATAACTTAATATATTTTATAATTAATACATATAATAATTAATTTGTGTATTTTAAAACAATTTATATTAAAGATAAAATTTTATTGCAGTTCATTTACCTAAAAATCTTGGTGCAAATATGGCTCTTAAAGAATCGATAACTGATATTTTGACAATGGAGTTCACCTTTCTGGGAAATAATAATAAAAGGGCCTTCATTGATACAAATTACAACTCTTAAAGAAGCGATAACTGATATTTTGACAATGGAGTTCACCTTTCTGGGAAATAATAATAAAAGGATACAAAATTATATCACGTAATCTATTGTAAGTCAATGTTTTCATCCTTTTTTCATTAAGTTTTAGTTTTCATTGGCAATTTCTTCTGTCTACAGTTGTACAGGGTCTTGTTTTGAAGGCCCCACATAAAATAAAGAGTTCTTGCCACACATTCAAGAAGCATTAAGAATCAACAGACAACGTGAGGCAAACAAATTAAAAAAACAGCAGAAAACACCAGAAAGTGAAGCAACAAATGATAATCCTCAAAACTATAGTTTTGTATACAGAGTCAATAAGGATACTGTTGAAAAGGAGCAAATTTAAAAATTGTTTTTTTGTATATTTTAATATTTTGTTTATAAATTTTGGTTGTGTTTTAATTGCCTATTTTATTTTATGCAAGAAAACCTAAATACTGTCTGTCCACTCTAAGTTGGCTGAACTAAGGAATTTTGTTGTTTAGATATTAAAGAATTGTCGTACTGTGTGCTTTTAAAACAGATTTTATATTATAAATAATACTAGTATATAATATGTACTAGTATTATTTATAATATAAAATCTGTTTTAAAAGCACACAGTACGACAATTCTTTAATATCTAAACTACAAAATTCCTTAGTTCCGCCAACTTAGAGTGAACAGACAGTAACTATATGTAATTATGGGTTTTGAAAGGCAAAAGGACTGTTTATTTGATGCAAACATATCAAAATTTAAAAAAATTATCAATTTAAATGCTAGCATTTAAGTTGGTAATTATTTAGATATGTTTGCATCAAATAAACAGTATTTTTTCCTTTCAAAACCCATAACTTGATTTTTTCAAATATTTGAATTAATCCGCCAAAAGTAGGAAGGTTTGATATTACATTGAGCTCAAATGAGGAATCAACTTGATATGTTTTTGACCTCAAAGCTTGATGTATAAAATCAAGTCTTGAGCTCGCATTGATATCAACTTGAACACCAATTTGTTAGCTGGGCTGGAAGAAAACTATCCAAATGTGTAAATAAATGAAGCAGTTAGTAAGCTACCGAGTTTTTTCCAAAAAAGTCCAAGGAACAGTATGCGAAGTGGTACTGCAGCAGTAACTCGAATGTTTAGATTAAGATACACAACCACTAGTTTTGAATACTTCTGACAAGGATTCATCTCTCCAAAAGCTGAATGCTTCCTAGAGGCATTCACGTGCTTAATACCGTCATTTATCTATACTTCCCACAAGAGTTCAAATCTTCAATTCACTGCACAGTGCTTTGAATACGGCCAATATTTTTTCATTTGCAGTGTACTTTTCTCTGTAAAATCTGTTACGCTTTTTTTTTCGCTAGGAACAACACTGGTCAAGCCCCGTGTGCACATGTGTTTTTTATACAGGGTGTCTGGAAAATGGCGGACTTACAGTTTACCTTGGTTTAGTAACCAAGCGGTATACCACGTGTGTTATAATAATAATAAATTTAAAAAAAAATCTAAAAAATACTGAGTTATAAATTATTTTTTTTCCTTATTTAAAGTTTTTTAGAATAATATTCAATATGTATTTATATAAAAGGAATAACCATAATTTTGTAACATTTTATATATAAATAAAAAATTAAATTAATAAATAAGTTATGATAATTTATAATGTTTGAGTTTTCTGACATGAACTGTCTGAAAATACACCTGTCAACCATGTTAACATGGAGCCTACAAAAGGAGTCCTAACTTAATAGAGGAAATTGACAAAACTTGCATACTAAATTGCACAAATTAGGTCTTGTTTTTTGAGTTATAAATTATTTTTTTTCCTTATTTAAAGTTTTTTAGAATAATATTCAATATGTATTTATATAAAAGGAATAACCATAATTTTGTAACATTTTATATATAAATAAAAAATTAAATTAATAAATAAGTTATGATAATTTATAATGTTTGAGTTTTCTGACATGAACTGTCTGAAAATACACCTGTCAACCATGTTAACATGGAGCCTACAAAAGGAGTCCTAACTTAATAGAGGAAATTGACAAAACTTGCATACTAAATTGCACAAATTAGGTCTTGTTTTTTCACCACCAGCGGCGCTGATTGTCAATGCGTACTGCTGTTTTGGTAGCGTTTCGGTACAAATCAAACAATCAACGGAACACCAGCGGCGCTGGTCCAGTGCCCTCTTATCATAGAAAGATTTTTGTATACATGAAGTTTGGACTCCTTCTGTAGGCTCCAATGGAGCCGCTCCATGCATGTTAACTTCAAGTCGCTGTAGATGCGCTGTATATTTTGTTTCCATAAGAACCGTTTTTAGATGTTTTTTAAATCGAAAGAGAAAATACACAGCGTTGCAGTTTTTAAACTTAGATACTTAATAATTACATCAGACCCATTTATCTAGTTGCCAAAGCAAAGTAAAAGTTTTTTATTTGAGGCTAGGGCTTTCTTTCTTTGCAGTGAAGATTTTCCTATCCATGATTTGGATAACGATGAGAATTAACTTTTTATACTATTTACATTAGTTTTCTTAACTTTACCTCCCTAATAAATAATTGCTGCGAAAAAATACCTATCATATTTCCTGTCGATGTATCACAAATTAGTAATCGTTTAACGATTATCGTTACGAAATTGAATCTTGTTAACGATAAATGGCAGCCATCTTGGGTCCACCATTTTTTAATTTTGAAAATTTAACTTTCGTATTTAGCGACCTTAAATACTAAGGGATACTACATGTTTTGCGTCAAACAGCAGACCTTTTCCAATATTCGATGACCATTTTGTATCCGCAATTTTGAATTTCAGAAATTTTTCTCCAAATTCGTATTCCGCAAACCCCAAAAACTTAAAGATTTAGCTCTGACCGAATCCTAAGCAGAGTTTTGGTCAGCTTTTTAGCGATGTTGCCTAATGTGCGGCGTTTAACCCCAGATAAAATAAACACTTGTCGCTTACAAATCTTGTTTAAAAACGCCATAAATTGAGCACCCAACCAAATAAAGAACGTATAATCTCAGTGGGGTAAAATAGTGTGCAAAGGTTTCCTACTTTCAGTATGGCTGAATCCTCGTTGAAGTCAGTACTTGAATGATCAGTTCAATTTTCCATGAAGACAGAGCGGCATTACGAACAACCCTTCGTGGACGGCAACATTTTGGTAATGAGGACAAGTAACGGTTTTCACAGTGGGGCAAAGTTGATAGCTGTTTCCGAATTTTTAGCAGAGACACGTACCCAAGTACATCAAGAAGCATGATTAGGCCAACCAAGCCCCATTCATAAACCTCAATTAAATGTGAGTATTACTAAATCCCTCGTTGAGGGGGACTCCGGATCGTACTTAAGTTTGGGTCTATTCAACGTCCCCACGATCTAAGAGATAGATAGAACAGATAATGCTGTGCAGTTTGCGGGATACTTAGGAGAACCGAAAGGGGGTGAAAATAACTCTGGGTGTATGATGATGCTGATGGGGCTACGTTCCTCATACCTATTATACAAGGTGTCCCTAAACTTAGTGGCATAAATTTAGGAGCAGATTAAGCAAGTCAAAATAAGACGAAAATCTAAATATATATTTTTCCTAATTACGTATGTTTAAAAGTTACAGGGTGATAAAGTGTTACTTATCATATCAGTTTTTTTAATATAACTTCTACTATGGTAGACTTGGAAAGGTGATATTTTGCGAACAGTCACTTACTACCAAAACACATATTCACACATAATTACAATTGTTTGAGTGAACACAGTGTCGTAGAAACGGGGGTTGCTTTAAGCTTATTGTCCCATACAAACTTTGAGGTTAGGTTTTTGTAACATTTGATGCAATTTATCGATTAAACAGTTCGGCTACCATTAAAAAGGTGTCCCTCTCAAACTTCGATAAAATAAACCGTTTCCGAGATATTTGAGATTACAATAATTGTTTTATCGCATTATTTAAAAGGATTAAAAGGTATATGATAACAAATTTTATTTTTTAATTGAAAAAACTAAAAAGGGCATTTCATGAGCCTCGGGACTTTTTGCCCTGACCGTCACATTAAAAAAAATGTAGTTTTTTCAATTAAATTTTTTTTTTATCATATAACTTTTAGTCCTTTAATGCGATATAACAATTATTGTAATCTCGAATATCTCGAGAACGGTTAATTTTATCGAAGTTTGAGAGGTACACCTTTTTAATAGTAGCCGAACTGAGTAATCGAAAAATTGCATCAAATGGTATAAAAACCTAACCTCAAAGTTTGTATGGGACAATAAGATTAAGCAACCCCTGTTTCTACGACACTGTGTTCACTCAAACAATTGTAATTATGTGTGAATATGTGTTTTGGTAGTAAGTGACTGTTCGCAAAATATCATCTTTCCAAGTCTACCATAGTAGAAGTTATATTAAAAAAACTGATATGATAAGTAACACTTTATCACCCTGTATCTTTTAAACATACGTAATTAGGAAAAATATTTATTTAGATTTTCGTCTTATTTTGACTTGCTTAATCTGCTCCTAAATTTATGCCACTAAGTTTAGGGACACCTTGTATAATCCGTTCTCTAATCATAATAATTATTTAAAGACAATACAAGTACACCTGTAAACAAATAAGAATTTTTAAACTAAAGTGTTAAGTTAGTTATGTTAAGTATGTTAGACTATTTATAATAATTAACAATAAAATGTATACGCACCCATGGCATATATTTTACAATCCAAAACTGTTACACTCAAGGCACTTCTAGCCACTTTCATATTGGAAACAAATTCCCATAAATCTTTTTCTGTATCATATCTTTCAACACTATTTAACTGTGATTTACCGTCATATCCTCCAACCACATAGATAAACTGATTTATTGCAGCAACAGCTGTAAAAATAAAATTTCTTAGATAAACAAAAATACTTATATTTTGGGAGATATTTTTGAAATGATGCTAAGGCCTAATATATAATTACCAATTAAAAACTACCTGCTCCACTTCGTTGAGTATTCATTGGACTAATTAAAGTCCATTCGTCATTTTCAGGGTGGTAACATTCTGCTGTTTTGTGCCTACTTATACCATCATAACCGCCTATTGCATACAATATTCTATTAACAACTGCAACTCCTGCTGCCAAACGTTTAGAATGCATTGATTTGACAGTAGTCCATCTATCCACTTCGGGATCATAACTAAAAATGTTTGATATGATTAAAAATACATGGGGGCGGCAAAAAAACCAAGATATTTTTTTTTGGATTTAGGTACTACTGATTCGCTGTTTGCACATGTGCCAGTGCCAGGATATGAACCAAAGCTTAACCATAATAAAGCCTATTTAATATTTTACAATAGGATAATGTAAAAAGTACATAAGTTTAATTTTTTACCCTCAAAAAAATTAAATTTTTAATTAAATTGGTAACGAGAAACAGCAAAAAATTTCAACAAACCATTCCCAAATATATATATATATATTTTTTAAATCAAATTGTTTATTTTCATTCCAAAAGCTACATTTCACAAAGGGATATTTATATATACATATGTATATATATATATATATATATATATATATATATATATATATATATATATATATATATATATATATATATATATATATATATATTATATATATATATATATATATATATATATATATATATATATATATATATATATATATATATATATATATATATATATATTTGGCCAGCATACAAAGTGAGGACTTGTCTTAGCACGTATATTATGAGGACCGGTAGAAGGAGTCAAAATAGAAACACAATTAATATTAAGTTACGCTTAATATTAAATTAGTAACAGGTGGGTAAAGAATATACACGTAAAATGTTTATTTAAATATTTTCGAGTATATCAGAACAAAGTGAGGACCGTATATCTGTCTATTCAAGTGAGGACCGTTTATAATTTTTTATGCTACCCATTTTATGAGGTCCATCGTACTTTTGTAAAACTGTGTAACACTTGGCAATACCACAAAGAAATTACATCCTTGGACAAATATACAAAAGTGCTCTTTTAGTTCCACCCTTACTTCCTAAGAAGTCCCAAAAGCCAACTGAATGGCATGAGCGGGTAGGAACGGACCGCGGGCTTAAAGGGCCCTCCACCTTTACGGGTTAACATATGATTAGACTTATTAATATTTATTAGATATTTTGTTATTTATTATACAGGGTATTAATTTTAAAACTTCCCACACTAAATTTCTAAATTTCTCTTAAACTGAAAGGTTTCTGAAAAAACGCCGAGACATGTAAAGTTTAATATCCAGGGGTATTATTTTGCATGATAAAAATTGGTTTTCCACCCTTACCCTCTGCGCCCTTAAGAATTTGAATAGGTATCGAGTAATACATAATTTTAAAGATCTTTAAAGTCGTACGGTGTTTTAAATCAGTCTGTTCGTTTTTAATATATTTTAGAAAAAACATTCTTAGGAGTTAGACATAATAGAAAAAAATAATGTAATAAATGCTCAAAAATTTGGTTACCCAACCTTACACCCTGCACCCAGCAGATATAGGAGTAATACATTTTTTTAAAGGTTTTTAAAATCCCTATAAATCGGTATTTTTTTAAATCGTTCTCAGAAAAAACATTGAACACAATGTATTGGAATACACAATATTTGTAATGTAAGAATTAACTGTATAGGTTATTTTTATTCTTTTTTTTTATATTACAAAAAAAGTTTCATAGGGAAAATTTTGGTTTGCGGATAGCCGAGTAGCCACTCGTTTTACAGTAAATCGAGATCTCTGAATCCGATTTTAACAAAAATTTTGACCTATAGGGCCTTGGAAAAGTTTTGGTTTCTTTTATAGTAAATCGAGGTCTCTGAATCCGATTTACACAAAATGTTTGACCTTAAATTTTGGTTTCTGAATGCCCGAGTAAATCAATGTCTAAATATATAAATATTTTTAAAAAAACGTTTAACCTAAAGGATTTTGAAAAATTATTGGTTTACGGATACCACTTGTTTTATTGTAAATTGAGGTGTCTAAATCCGATTTCGATAAAATTTTTGACCTAACGGGCCTTCAGAATATTTTGGTTTCCGGATACCCGAGTCACCACTTGTTTTATAGTAAATTGAGGTTACTGAACCCAATTTGGATAAAATTTTCAAAATTTACAACTAGCACTAAACTGGGCGGAAATTTAATAATTAAATAATATTAGTTGCGGTCGCGGCGCGATAATCTTCATGCTAGCCAACTATAGCTAGTTCAATAATAATTAATAATTAATTATGAACATTAATATAGTTCTACACTATATTTTTATTCAGTTTTTTATCATTTGATTTGTTTATTAGTGTTGCATTTATTTTTGATTTTTTGTAAGGCCTATAGGCCCATACGGTATATATACATTTGATTTTGTCTTAATAAAGAATTAATAAAGGGTTCAAATAAAACTAAAAAGCACAAACCGGCTCTTTTATACAAAAAAAAACACGCTTTTAAGCACTAAAAACTTCAAAATAATGTAATTTAATTAAAAATATTTTATTCCGATAGACAAGGTTTCAAAAAACTTACGCCAATGCTTGGCTGGAGATTTGTCATCCAAAAATAAGAAAAAAGTTCATACAAACGTAGTGCCAGAAATGCTTAGTTTTAAAGATACTTACATTACACACATTTTTTTCAAAACTTTTTTAAAATATCTTAAATATCGTTTGCCAGGTTTTTTTGAAAGTTGGCAACGTTATTTATTGCTTTTGTTAATTTTCTCCAAACCCCTTGATTAATTAAAAAATAATAGGTATTTAAAGTATTTTTTGTTTAGCTTAAAAAAGGTGCAAAATATGCGTTTTGTTAATTTTTATGCAATAATATTGTTTTATTTTTTCTATCAAAAACGAGGTAATAAACAACTTGGGAGACCAAAAAGTTTTTTAGTGGCTTGATCATAAAAAAATATATAAAAATAGCAAAAAAAGTTTAGCTAGTATAAATAACGTTGCCAAATTTCAACAAAATCGGGAAAACGATATTTAAGATATTTTGAAAACTAAACATTTCCGAAACTATGTTTAGTAAGGTCATATAACTTTTTTTCCTATTTTTCGATGACGAATCTCCAGCCGAGCATTGGCGCATGTTTTTTAAACACCCTGTATAAACTTACCTATCACTTCAATAACTATACCAAAAAGAGTTTGTAGCTATATCGAAATTATATTTTGCCTCAAAATTAATAAATGCATATTATGCATTGCCTAACTGACATATATAAACTGCTTCATCGTCTTCACTTTCAATTAATTCTTAAAAATAAAAAAAAATCTTCCGTTCAACGCGTCAGTATTGCAAGGTGCCGCCATATTGTATTTAGTATGACTTAACTTAATTTATCATTTTTTTTCAAACCCTTTCATTTGATACCCATGTTCTAAAGAAATAGGTATTCTGCACCCATGGGGCGGCCTCCATATTGGATTTAGTACGACGTCACTTACTTTATTGTTTTTAATTCGTCAAACCCTTTCAATTAATACCGATGTCAGGAAGGTTGTGAAGATAAAGGCAATCTTCCATCTTGGATTTAGTATGACTTTATTTAATTTATGTTTTTTTTGTCAAACCCTTTCATTTGATACTTATTTTAAGGAGGTTGTAAAGAAATAGGTACCTATTCTGTCACCTTGGGGTGGTCTCCATATTGGATTTGATTCGACGTCACTCACCTTATTGTTTTCTACTAGTCAAGCCCTTTTATTTGATACCCATATCAAGTTGTGATAAATCGAAAAAAAATATAGATAAATCGCCATCTTGGAGCGGATGACATATTGCATTTAGTATAACGCCTTACTGTCAAAACCTTTCATTTGATACCCAAATCAAGGGGGTTGTAAAGAGAAAGGAAATCCTATACTAAATTGTACTGTCTTCAGCACCTAAAGTATGTGTAAGCCCAATCGGTTAAGTATAAGTTGGTTAAAATCGACTTGTGGACACTATTACAAGGGAAGCTAATATAACCTAATCGCTATGTTTTGGTCTAGCGAATTACTTTATATCTATAATAATAATATAATATTTGGAAAAACATATCTAGTGGTCTCTAACAAGCCACTTAGTAGCGGTTAAAGGTTAAAGCAGTTTTCCGCCAGATTACTGAAAGATTCAATACCCTGGCACAGATCAAACCAGACAAAAGACAAATTAAAATTATAGTCAACAAACCATTCCTAGCATTTAGTGAGGACCGTTTACAGTTGTCAATTTTATGGTCCTCACTTAATGCGTAGAAAGTTGCTTATAAGCACCTAAAAATATACGTCTTGAAAATATACTCATCAAGAAGCGCCACCAAGTTGCGGTAGCAGCGCCACCTAGTAGCGGTTTAAGAAACTAAAATGCAAAGTGAGGCTTTTTTTATGTCTTACTGAAACAACATTTTATGTAACACAGAAGCGTTCAGGCATAAAATTATTGCTTTGACAAAGTGAGGACCATATACGGTACTCACTTTGCCATGGACCTCACTTTAATAGTAAATTACCTTCGAAAGTGGCTCACTTTGTATGCTGGAAGTAAATATATATATATATATATATATATATATATATATATATATATATATATATATATATATATATATATATATATATATATATATATATATATATATATATAATATATATATATACATATGTATATATATAAATATATTATATATATATATATATATATATAATTTATGTGAGCCACCACTAGATAGAAGTTTAATTTGTTTAGTTAGCATTTTTAGTTTCTCATAAAAACTGCAATTATGTAAAGGGATTCTCTGTTTGCATTTCATATTGTACGTTACTGCCAATTAGTTAAAATTTAGTCTTTTATAATAAAAAAGTGTTTTTATTAAGTAATAAACTTAACTGGCCCAGTCTTGGTAGTACAACATCCTGTTTTACTTGTGTTTCAACACTCTATCGACTAATAAACACTTATTGAACATCTAAGACATTTTTCGCAACTTGTGACGAGTACGGCGTGATTCGCCTGATTCATCGAGAACCAGTGGGAGCTGAGAAATCTACAGAGGATCAAAGGGCACTCGTTTTACATCAACAAGGAGCCGCAAGACCTGCAGTAGTCAAGGACAAAAATCGCCTTCAGAATGCTACAGGATCTTATACCGTAAG